GAGTGTCAGCCTGCAGTCCGGAGAGACCCGGGTTTGGTTCCCGCTAAGGGCATGTACCTCGGTTGCAGTTTGTCCCCGGCCCCAGTTGGTTGTGCAGGTGGCAGTCACTCAATGTGTCCCTTTCACGTCAATGTTTCTCTTTCTCTCTCTCTTCCTCTCTCTCCCTCCCACTCTATCTAAATCAAAAATGGAAAAATGTCCTCAGGTGAAGATAAAAAAAAAAAAAAGTAATAATGTGTGATTGCTTTTAAGACTCGTTTTTAATTATGTCTTTTCATTTACAGAATTTACGAATGCCTACGTTCTCTCAGCAAGGCAAACATTAGCGCGATGTGTGCTCCTTGAAAATCCCACCCTTGTCCCCCGTGTGTTGATATTTTCGGGAATTTTAGTTCCAGGTCATTGCAGACGTTTTCCCTTCTGCATTTTGATGATCTTACCTTTTTCTCAGCAGTAGCTTGACTCCCTGACTTGTTTCTGTCTCATATCAGCTCCCAGCGTCCCCTGCTCGGAGAACCCCGGGTGCTGGCCGTGCGGGGCTCTGTCCAGCAAGGATTCTGAGGCTTCTTTTGTGTAAAAATGTTTGTTTATGGTTTTGTTCATCCAAGTATATTTTTTTGTTACTATCACCCAAGGATACTTTTTCCATTGAGTTTTGGGTTTTTTTGTTGTTCTGTTTTGTTTTTTGAGAGAGAGAGGCATCGATGTGAGAGAGACACATCATTGGCTGCCTCCCCCACAAGCCCCAGCTGGGGCCGGGGATGGAACCCGAGACCCTTCGGTGAGCAGGTGGATGCTCTAACCAATGACCCACACAGCAGGGCTGCACCCTCACATCTGAGTGAAAGTTTGCTGAACATTAGGTCGTAGGTGCCAGGCTCTTTGCTTTTGACACTTTAAATCCTCCTCCGTCGTGTCGCGGTAACTACCCCTCCGTTTCAGGGCCCCGCTCTTTTGCTGACACTTTCTCAGCCTGCCCTCTCTTCTCCAATCTTCTGACATTTGCATAATTGTGAATGGGTGTGGCTTTCCTCACTGCATCTCCTTCCGGAATTATACGGAGTCTTTCATCGTTGGGGCGCTGCGGACCCGGTCGGACCGCGGGACCCCCGTGCGGCCTCCTGATGCGCGCGGTCCCCGCGGTGACAGAACGGCAAGGCTGGGGTTCGGGAGCCCCCTTGTGGCCATCTCGGGGCATTGCATGTTTTGCCGGCCGCATCCCAGCCGGGTGGGGCTCCCAGGCAGGTGAGCTTTGTGGGCAGTCCCTTCTGCCAGATGCACGTCCCGTCTCTTCCCCACAACCCACTCTGATCGTCATCAAGTCCCCGTGCAACGTCACTTAGCGGGGAGGCCTGCCCTGACACGGCCCACCCACCTGTGTGACACCTGGGTCTGCAGGACAGCACAGCCCACCTGCCCCCGCCAGGGCACCAGTTTGTCTGCGTGGCCTGCGGTCACAACTGCTCAGGAGTTCCCAGCACTGTGTGAGTGCCAACGCAGTGAGCCCCACATCCGGGACCCCGCGAGCAGCCCTCTGCTGTGAAGAATGAATGGAGACTCTCTGAGCCCCTGTTGGCCATGAGCACGGTGAGGGGCAGCTGTCTCCCTAAAAGCCTGCGGAGCTGCATTTGCTGAAAGGGAGTTGGTTTCGCTGCCAGGCCGGGCCAGCGGTGCGGGTCAGGTGTGCGCGTCCCTGCGCGTCCCCTGTGGCACTCCTGTCCACTAACAGGTGGAAGCTTGCCTGGGGCCTCCCCGTGAAACAAAGGATGGAACACGGCCGCGCCTTAGCTTCCTCTCCCAGAACACCACTGAAAGGAGAATTCCGACAATAGCAAATGCTCGTCTGCTCTTTCCACACACACACGGGGCACTGTCCTTGGCACGTCACACGGACAGCTCATTTAATCCCCACGGTACCCAGCTTCTGGACGAGAAACAGGCCTGCCCCAAAGTCTGTCCTCAAGTCCCAGTCTGACCCCCATGAGGGAGCACGCTAACTCTGAGCTCTCTGCGGGCTGCCAGCTGGGACGCGAAGAAGAGGGTGATGCTGACTCCCAGGTGACCACTGAGCGAGCTGAGACCCCAGAGGCACCTGAGATGTGGGTGGGGCCAGCTCCGTGCGCCTGCAATCCGGGCTGTCTCTCCAGCCAGGACCGCCCCCTCCGGGACGTGGGCACGGATGGCTGTTTGGGTTCTGTCCTCCAACCTTCTGCTCTCTGCTGAGGTCTGTGAGGAGGTGGCATCTGACCTTGCCGGGGGGACGGGCTGCGAGGGCACCCACGTGTCCTCCCTCCCTCCTGAGGAACTGGCCACACGGTCTCCGCTTTCCTGTGCTCTCCCTCGGGGGCTCGCTCAAGTGGGCATGCACCCCACAATCTACCGGCTGTTGTCAAGTGGCCAATGGCCTCCTGATTGACTGATGGGCATCTCAGCCCACCCTTCCACCCTGGCCCCCACGGCCCCTCCAGCCCTTTGCTGGTCCCCTCCCCATCTCACGGAGCCTGCGGGAGCCTTGGCCGGTCCCAGGCCTTTGCTCGTCATTCCCTTCTAAGATGGGCATGGGCACCAATACCCCAAAGCCCAGGTCCTTACATGAAATTCTGATTCGTCCAAAACTCCTGTGACCTCCCCACTGCGTGCAGCCCTCCGTACCGGTCACTTCCCACCCCCGGTGCATCAGGCCTGGGTGCCCCCTCACCTCCTCCCTGACCTCACCTCCACACCCAGGAATCCCCAAGCCCCTTTGCTCTACACCCCCTGACTTCCTGGGGTGCTCTCAGGGCTGCCCTGTGTTCCCACACAGTGAACTCCCCCAGCTCCAATCCAGTCACACCACTGCCCACTTAGAACAGGACAGATAGGGGTCCCCTGCTCTCTGAGCCCCCGCCCAAGCCCCTGCCATGCCCACCCACCGACCCAGCACCCACCATGCTGGGTTCAGAACTGCCCCACCCTGTGGCCGCAGCCTCAGTGAGGGCTCCCACCACCTGAAGGCCTCCCTAGTCCCCCTGCTCTGCCCGGTCAGCAGCCCCATGAGGCTGCCTCCCACGTGGACAGACAGACGGCCTCTGCCTTTGCTCATGGGTGCCCAGGCAGCCGACACTCCATCAGGACCTGTGAGCTGACGAGTAAGGTGATGAAGGACACAGGGACCAGCCGGCCACCTTCGCTGGTGGTGGCCATCACAGGCCACCTGGGCAGCCAGGGAAGGGCAGGCTGGGATGTGTCGCTTCCCACCCTATTCCATGGCAGAGCCAAAGGGCAGACACCTCAGGCCACAACCGACAAAGGCCAGAGCTCCAGGTCATGGACACTGTGGTGCCTCACCTGGGGCCTCAGACGGTCAGCGGGCACACGGGCCATGGAACCAAGTCAGGGCAGAGAGGGGCCAAGGTCCTGAGAGGGAGGCCAGGGAGGCGGTGACCAGAGCGGAGGGCCAGCCAGGTGGACTGGGGTGTTCCCGGGGCCGGTGAGCCCCGGCCTTCTTCTCTGCCTGGAAGGAAGCCAAGTTCGGGGACACCAGCTTCCACCTGACAGGGCAACATGGAGCCTCAGGAAGAGCTGACCCCTTAGCAGTGTCCCCATAACTGCCTCCGGCCCAGGCAGCAAGACTCCTGCGGGAAGAGGCTCCTCAGGGAAGCGTCAGAACAGGCAGGGACCCAAACCAGGCAGCCGGAGGGCATGGCAGGACCGGGCAGGGACGGGGTGCACCAGCTCTGGCCTCAGTGGGGGCACAGGGGCCGGCTCAGGCCCGACACCCAGAATGGGAGCTGGTCCTGCAGGCCTCGCCCTCTGGCCCTCCCCAGGCCACACACTCCCAAGACCGTACCCACACACTGCACCCACACACTTCCCCCCAGCCCCGCCTCAGTGCAGCCTGTCTTCCCAGGGTGGCTCCCACCGACCCCCACCGCCCCTCCCATGGCTCGCTTGCCAACAGGGCTGACCCCTAGGCTCTGCGCACCAAGGAGGTTGCTCCGCCTGCTCCCCACTCGGGCTCCCCGCTGCCCACAGAGCTGCTGGTGGGGATGTCGAAGGCCCAGGCCAGGTACTGGACCAGGGGCGGGTTGTAGCCTCGGTGTAGTCCCTGCGCACCTGAGAAAAGTGGTCCCAGAGGCCAGCTGGCTGAAGAGCAGGTGACCCCTGAGGCCAGACCCCATGCAGCAGAGTTTTGGGAGGGGGGTGAAAGGAGAGGTGACCCTGCCACCTGCCCGTGGGGGCCCTGGGAGCTTCTGGCCAATCCCTGAGCAGCATGCTGCTGGAGGAAAAGGCCTCCCAGAGGGCCCCTCCGTGCCCCAGCTCCCGCCCTTCTGACAGTGGTTGTCACAGACCCTCACGTGTCAGGGAGCTGGGCTCTGCCATCAGGAAGTGCCCCGGGCTCCAATACTCCGTGCCAGCTGAGGAGGTGTGTAACCGCCATCCGGTCACCATGCAAGGCATCCTCGGGCAGCCACGTCAGCAGCCTCCCCAGATGCTATGGTACCCCCCGGGTCTGGCAGGGGCCCTGGCAGAGGCCAGGTAAGAGACCTGCAGCTGGACTTCAATGCCTGCCCTCCACACCCCCCCCCACCAAGGTGCCACACTGCCCGGGCCAGGGCCGCTGCAGGCCCCACGGAGTCTGGGCCAGGGCCAGGCTCCAGCTCCTGGTGCAAGGCTGCAAGGGCCGCCCAGGAGCCAAGCTGGGCCCCCTCTGGCTCCGGCAGTTGGCTGGAAGAGCTCCGGAGCACCCGAGCAGAACTGGGGGCTTGGAGACACTTCTGGACCTGAGATGCAAGGGCAGGGACCTGAAATGGGTTAAGGTATTACAGGTCGGGGCTGTCACAGCTCTGGGACTCACAGTGAGATTGAGAGAGGAGTCCCTGGAACAGAGGCAATGGTCCCCCACCCGGGACTCCTGAGAGCCGCCTGGGAGAAGACCCAGTCCCCCAGCGTCACTCACGCACATCCCCTTCTCCTACCCCCCTCCCCAGGACGCACAAACAGGCAGCACGGTGAGACTCTGGATACAAAATTGTAAACACGAGTCTTTAAAATGACAGAGGCCTTTTTGGCCCCTAACTCTGAGCCAGAGGCCCCCACGGAGGGACCCCAAGGAACCAGACCTCTCTCCCCTCTGTCTTTCCTTCCCACCCGGCCCCAGCAGGCAGGGGAGGGTCCTTCTGCTCCGCACACACCGGCCCGCTCTGGGGCGGGCCAGCCGATGGGGCCGAGGTCAGTGGGCCGAGGGGTCCCTGAGAGGAAGCAGCAGCTGCAGGCCAGGCGCTCAGCGAGCCTGGCCCCGTGGGGAGCCCGCCCCACCCCATCCCATGCAAACTGCACGCCCCACCGGCCAATGTCTCTGCACCCGCGAGTATCTCCAGGGCCGCGCGGGCCCTGTCACGTGTCCAGGGCGTCGCGCGTGGGCGAGGGCCCGTGGGGCCGGCCTGGTGGGCCGTGCAGCGGCGGCGGCGGCGGCACCGAGTTGCGCTGCGAGGGGGGCGGCTGCAGCTCCAGGGCGAGCGCGGGCGGCGGGAAGTCGCGCACCTGGCGGCGGTACTCGAGGAAGGTGCAGGCCTTGGTGGCGAGCGCCACCACGTTCTTGCCGACGAAGATGGCCGAGACGCGGCTGTCTCGGAAGAGCGCCATGTTGGCGGCGCGCGCCAGCACGGCCACCACGTTGACGGTGGCGAGGCTGAGCACCGGGTAGAGCATCATCTTCTGCGGCGCGATGTGCTCGCCCTGCATGCTGACCTCGCTGAGCGCCACGCACGGCAGCACCAGCAGCAGCATGTAGCAGTAGAAGAAGGTGAGGCCCTCGGCCCACAGCGGCAGCCCGGTGCGCGGCGGCTCCCACAGGTTGGCCTGCATGTCCAGCAAGTCCAGCAGGTCCAGCGCCACCCAGAAGAGGCGGCCGCGCAGGTCCTCGCGCTTGCGGAAGGTGCGCACGTACTCCATGCGGTCGAGCGCCACGAGCAGCAGGAAGAGGCCGGGCACGCACACCGACAGCAGCAGCGTCAGCGCCTTGCGCGCCACCGGGTCGGCCGCGCCCCGCCGCGCAGCCTTGTAGTTCTGGAAGATGAAGTAGAGCTTGATCTCCAGCACGAAGATGTAGAGGAACCAGAGGATCATGGCGTAGCCGCGCTTGGCCGTTCGCACCTCGGCGCCCACCCACACGGCCACGTAGCGCAGCACCAGCAGAAAGCACACGTCGCCCACCAGCACGATGATGCACACGCCGATCTTGCGCGGGCCCTGGTTCTGCTCCACCAGGTAGGCGTCCATGACCGCCATGCTGCCCATGATCACCAGCGTGGTCAGGCACACGTGGCGCCGGTCCGGGGGCGGCAGCACCATGGTGGGCCGCCGGGACCCCGTCCTGGGGGCGCGCGGCCCCCACGCAAGGCGGGACGAAGCCCGGCAGCGGCGGCGCTCAGCCCGCGGACATGGCGCAGCGAGGCCGGTCCAGCCTCCCCGAGGGCGCCACCGCTCCCGGCCCGCGAGCTCAGAACCTGGGGAGACCAGAGAAGAAAGAGTCAGAGGGCAGTGGGGGCGGCCTCCCCCACCTCCGCCACGCACGGGAGCCCTCGGTGGCACGCACGCGCCAATGCGCGCCGCGGACCAGGAGTCGGCAGCGGAGCCTCTAGGGGGCGCTGCAACGCCACCTGAGACCCGAGATCTCATTCCTGTGGCGGCCAGGAAAGAAACGGAACGGAACTGGCTTCTCCCGGCCGCACGCATCCCCTGGGCCCCGGTGGTTCGTCTCTGGTGGGCCCACGCCGCCATCCCTTCAGCTCTGGCGGCCTAGGCCCCACGCCCGAGGCCGTTCCTACGGGGATTCGGGTGTCCTCTCTCCCCCAGCGCCGCGCTGGGTGGGTAGGCAGGCCTGTGCCCTCGGGGAGTGCGCCCTCCGGGAGTGCGGGAGGCCAGCGGAGGCCCAGGGCCCATCCTGAGACCCGGATTTTCTGATCAAGGACTGAAAGTCGCCCAAATCCTGAGGATTCCATCCCACAAGATTCTCCACGCCTCCCTACCCCTGCCTTGCATCTCTTTGCTCAGCCGACTCAGTCTCCTGCCAGTGGCATGTGGACCATTCTCTGCCCTGCGCCCACCATGGCTCCCACAGCCTTGGGAGGCTGGCGCCTGGACGCATCCCCTGCTGTAGGCGCCCCTGCACCTGGCCAGCACACTCACAAGGCCTGCTCACTGTGCAGTGGCCCCCGGCACTCCCTCCCGGGCACCTTCATGCAAGACAGGAAGCCTGCCCTCCGCTCTGCCCACCCGGACCCCGTTTGGGTTCTGCACCCTGAGCCTCTCACACCCCTGGCGCCAGTTGTCCTGGCTGTGCTGGTTGGAGTCACACACCAGGTTGAGGGTCCCACAACTGGGCCTGGTCACACCCCAGGGACTATGGAGGCCTGAACACCTCACCACCCAGAAGTCACTTGCAGGCTCCTCACCTCACCTCTCTCCCCTCCACAGCACCCCTGGCCCCAGGGCTGTTTACTGTCGTGTCTAGACAGGAACATAAAATTTAATGTCACCCGTGACTGTGGAGTGAGTGCTTGGCCTGCTCCTGATGACGATGCGACCCCCACTGACGGAGGGAGCCCCAGGTGTCCCAGCAGCCACACACAGGACCCCGACCACTCTGAGCTCAGACACCTGGAGTAAAGGGTGCCACCGTCTCCACAGTTCCATGAGTTCCTGCTCCCCACCCACACACCCACCCGGCTCTCACCTTCACTGCGTGGACACTCTTGACCCAGGGAGCCCCACACACACACTCCGGCCTCCTCTGGCTGCAGCGGCGGCCTGGGAATGCCCTTCCCTAGCTTGGCCAGGCCAAGTAGCCAGCGCGCCCCGCACAGGAAACCCCTTCCCCCGCATCCTCTCCTCCGCGGTCTCGCTCCCGCTGCCACTCTCAAACCCGGAGCAGACCCCATCCCCGTGCGTAAGCACAGAGGAAGCTCCAGACCCTGCCCACCCCTCCCCAGCCGGCCCGGGCCCTCCCGCCCTGGCTGCCGGGTGCCACCGAGTCCCCTGCACGCCCTCCACCTGGAACTCACAGACGCTGTGGCCTCGGGCCCCTCACCGCCCGCCAGCCCCGCTCTCTGGCCCCCACCCAGAACCACCCTCTGTGCCCACGAGAGGGAAAAACTACAAGGGCCACCACCCCCCGCCAGCCCCCACCAGACAGAGATCCGAGAAGGGGTTGGGCCGCTCCCCGCAGGCTGCGCCTCCGCTCCTCCGCCCAGGCCTCACTCCTGAGGCGCCGACCGCATCCCGCCGCCCCTGCGGCCGGCAGTGGGGGCGCCCGGGCCGGCCCCAACCCAGCTCCACGGACTCAACCCCCCGCCCGGCCCGCGCCTACCCGCCACCCGTCAGATGCTGCGCCTGGCGGGCCCGCCGCGCCTCCGCCTGATCGAGGCCGCGCTCCTCCGCTCGTCCGCTCCGCTGCGCCCCCCGCCCCCGCCCGAGGCCCCGCCCCGCGCCCCACGCGCCTGGCCGCCTGCGGGGACGGGGTCCGGCACCGGTTGCCACGGCGACAGCACTGCGCAGCGGCGAGGGTGGCACTGGGGAGCTGAACACCCCCAAGGTCCACGCGCAGGCCTGGGAAGTCTCTGCCTGTCCTCACCCACAGCCTGAGAGCTGGCCGCTGGCGCTTCCATCCCGCCTGCGTCCTGATGTTCTGCAGCAGCCCTACCCAGGCCGCCCACCAGGTGACCTCCCTTGCCCGCGGCAGAAGTCCTGTGGGACCCTGTTCCTACCCGCGGAGCTGACCCCAGCCTGGAAGCCAGTCTGACCGCTGGGTCTCTGCAGGTGGCCCAAGGGAACAGAATGAGAAGCGCAATGGGGCTTTGGGGATGCCTCCCAGTTAAGTTATACATTTAGGTCTGTAATCCATTTTGACTTAAATTTGATGTATGTTGTAAGGAAGGGACCTGTTGTGGGTTAAATGACGGCCCCCAAAACACATGGTGAAGCCCTGCCCAGTACCTGTGGGTGGGCCCTTACTCAGAAATAAGTCGACCCTTGAACAGCACAGGTTTTAAGTGCACAGGTTCACTTAAACAAATAATTCCTAAAATCCACATAAAAATGGACCACCGTTCCCTGGCCGGTTTGCTCCGCGGTTTGAGCATCAGCCCCGGGCCAGAGAGACCCGGGTTCAGTTCCCACTAAGGGCACGTACCTCGGTTGCAGTTTGTCCCAGGCCCGGTTGGGGTTGTGTGGGTGGCAGCCCCTCGATGTGTCTCTCTCACATTGATGTTTCTCTCTCTCCTCCTCCCTCTTTCCCTCCTGCTCTATCTGAAGATAAATGCAAAAATGTCCTCGGGTGAGGGTAAAAAAGAAAAAAAATGGACCACCGTGTCGCTCAAGGGTCAACTGTAGAGTCTTTGCAGATTTCATCAAGTTAAATTGATAACATCTGAGTACAATGACGTGTCCTTAAAAGGAGAGAGATGTGAAGACAGACGCACAGAGGGAAGGAGGTCACGGGACGCCAGAGGCAGGTTTCAGAGCCTGCAGCTGCAATCCCAGAACACCAAGGACGGACTGCTGGCCACACGCAGGAGCCGGGCCAGGGGACTGGAGCACATGCCCCTTCAGAACCGCCAAAGGAACCAGCCCTGCGCGCACACCTTGACCTCTGACTTCCAGCCTCCAGAACTCTGAGAGAACAAACCTTGGCTGTTATAAGCCATCCAGTTTGTGCTCACTGGCTGGTCACAGCAGCCCTAAGAAACTGATACAAAGTCTGATTTCATTCTTTTGCTTGTCCACTTGTCCCAGGACCATTTGTTGAAAAGACTGTTCTTTCCCCATTGAGTTGTCTTGGCACACTTGTCAAAAAATCAGTTGATCATGCCCGGCTGGTGTGGCTCAGTGGTTGAGCATCGACCCATGTACCAAGAGGTCACCAGTTCAATTTCCAGTCAGGACACATGCCCGGGCTGTGGGTCAAACCTCCAGTGGGGGGCATGCAGGAGGTGGCCAATCAATGTTCTCTCTCATCGATGTTTCTGTCTCTCTCTCCCTCTCCCTTCCTCTCTCTCTAAAAATAAAGAAAAAAAATTTTTTTAATCAATTGACCGTACCCATCTTGTGTGGCTCAGTGGATTGAGCATGTCCAGTGGAGTGAGAGGTCCCAGTTCAAATCCCAGTCAGGGTACATGCCAGGGTTGTGGGCTCAGTCCCCAGTAGGGAGCGTACAGGAGGCAGCCCATTGATGTTTCTCTCTCATGGATGTTTCTATCTCCCTTCCCCTTTCTCTCAAAAAATCAATAAAAACATATTAAAAACAAAGACAAGTTATAGACTGAGGGACAGTATTTGTCAATCACACGTTGGACAAAAAACATACATAGAATGTACTTTTTAAAACTCTTGAAAATCGAAACTGTGAACAGACACTTCACCAAGAGGGTATACGGATGACCAGTCAGCACACGAGATGATCGATGTTAGGAACATACAAAGTGTACTGAGGAGATGCCCCCACACGCCTTTTACAGCAGCTGTGGGTCGGTGCCGGCTGGGGGTTCTGGGTACACGGGGTTCAAAGTAAGATGGTAGATTTAAACCCAAATGCGTGAATGATTCCAGTAAAACCAAGTGAGTTAGACATGTCAGTCAGAAGACAGATGCATTCTGTTTCTTCGAGATATTTAAACCAAGTACACAGCAAAGTTGCAGAAGAACAGAAAGAGGGGTTCTTTTTCTTCCTCTTCACTTCTTGGGGCTGCTGTGCCAGCCGCGGGCTCTCCTCGCCTCGCAGCCGGGCCTCGCAAAACTGAGGAAACCAAGGACTTTCTGCTCAGCAGGCCGAAGGAGGCCGAGTCTGTCAAGATCAAGAAAAATCAGGGTAACATGAAGTTTCAAGTCCGGCGCAGCAGATCCCTCTGTACCTTGGTCATCAGGGACCAAGAGAAGGCCGAGAAGCGGAAGCAGTCCCTCCCCCAGGTTTGGCCATGAGGAGCTGAAATGAATCAGACACGCTGATCTATATTAAAATGTTAAAAATTCAAAGAAAAAAAAAGAATAGAAAGAGGTAGCTAACAGGAGCTAGAGGAAGGTGTGGGCTGCAGCGTGGACGTGGGCGTCGGGGAAGAGGTCAGCAGAGCAGGGGGCCAGTCCCTATGAGAAAGTCCACCCGAGGCCGTAACAGCACTGGGAGAGGGGCCAGATGGGTGTCCTGTGGCTCTTGTAACAAATGACCACACACTGAGGGCTTCCAAGGACGCCGGGGACTTATTCTCTCACCTTCAGGCCAGAAGTCCATCAAGGTGCTGGCAGGGCCGCCCTCCCTCCCGAGACTCCAGGGCAGGGTCCTTCCTGCTCCTGGTGGCCCCAGGCGTCCCTGGGCTGGTGGCTGCATGGCTCACAGCTGGGTCTTCACGTCGCTTCTTCTCTGGGTCTGTCTCTGTCCTGGTCACTGAATGTAAGGCCCACTGGGATAACCCAGGTTGATCTGCTCATCTCAAGACCCC